CTTCTTTTGGCTCCGAGATTCCCTTCTAAAAGCAAATGTTTCTACCGCCATGCATCATCCAGCTGAGCTGTATTCAGTTATATATTTTTTAATCAAATAGGAAGGTGCAAGATTCGAGGAAAAACAACATTAAGAGTTTTAAGGTCTAGCCGCTGTTCCCGAGACTTACCTTTACCAGCACCCGTGACCAAAGCTCGCTTTCCCGCAAAGGTGATCTCCATTCTGTTGGGGAAAATGGGAAGTACACAAATTTAAAGGAAACAGAAGTCAAACGATGATAATACTGTTATCCTGGCGATAATCTATTACACTAGCCGTTTGTACGCGGAATATGTTCCTTTGTCAAGACACGTTGGTTGATTTGAACTGAAACGGAATTTAAGTTTTTAAGATTGAAACAAACAGTGGAGGTTATTATTATTGGTCATTCATTAGTCACTATACGTTTAACGCTCTATTCAACAATGTGCGCGCTCATATTACGGGCTTATGCAGTTTCGAGCACCGTAAAACTTTTACCAAACTACCAAGCTTTCAACACTGTTAGTGCTAGGTTATTTAAGACGTGGCACCTCCGGTAAGACAGGGCCAAAAAGGGTGGAGAGCCTTAAGAATTCTCCTGCAAAAACCCCAAGCTTAGAACGCCCCGTTGAGGATTCGAACAAGGGCCATCTTCTCCGTAGTCCAGCATGATACCAGCTGAGCTAGCGGTGCTCCTCGAAATAGTTTTGAAAAGCAAAATATATTACCCTATGCTATTTCATCCATCTACGATATATTCTAAGTTCAAATTAAAATATTTCAAACTTTTTCAGGGTTCAATATTTGTATGCGGGTAAACGTGACTTAAAAATCGTGAAAATTTTCAAACTTACGTGATGAGTGTGTCTATCTTCACTGCTCTGAAGCGGTCTAAGCTAACACAAACAATGCAAAATATTATATAAAAACCCGGTACAGCACGTCCCAGATTCGTCTCCTTCGAGATACTAGCTTTCCCTAGCGGGGTTCAACCTTGCTCTTTTATAGACAACGAAACATTTAAAGGACCAAAGTTTAGTGTTACCTGTTTGTGATCCTTTACGCTTGTTGTGCATAAATGACTTATACCGCTCCTTAATATTGGAGAAAAAGAATAGATAATGACAATGATAATAACAGATGTGATGATGATGATGATGATGATGATGATGATGATGATGATGATGATGATGATGATGATGATGATGATGTGTAAGTGGCCCTAATCGACAAATGTCAACTGAAATTGGCATTGTTCTTTTCGATGATACCGCCTTGGAGATCGTCGTAGATGCTATTATTTCTTACTTTACTTTTACTTTCTCAAACTGTTGCCGTTAAGCGTGGAGGGGAGTAACAAATTCCCATGGTAATGGTAGGCCACTCGGCAGCTTTTTCAATAGGCATGTTGTAGTTTCCCTGTGTTCCCCGACTCCCTCGATTCATCGTTATGCGTGGCCTACCTCTTCCTTGGTGCCTGAATACTTGGCTTTCAGGGCGGGCTGGCTGGCAAGGTGACATTCGTAAAAGACGATCCAACCATTTAATGATATTCTCTATTTTTCAATGAAATGCAGGCAGGAATCCATGCCATTAGTTGCTCTTATTTCTTCATTTCTCTGCCATTTTCTTTTTGAGAAAAGCAAAGGAGAAAATACGTAATGGTCTCATCAGTTATTGGTTATCACTCGTACCGGTACTCAGGACCCCCCCCCCCAAGCATACACACCAAAAACAAAAATCAAAACAAAACAAAACAAAAATTTAAAAACTTAAGTCAAAGGTCTCAATTGTGAAGGAGAAAAACGCTGCACGTTTTAATTATTTTATTTTTTTTTATTTTTTTTTTTGGGGGGGACGTTATCGGGGGGATGAAATTTCCGAAGTATCTCTTCTTCACAACGAGAAGGTTCAGAAAGTGACACCATGAGAGATGTGTGCTTGTAAAATGTAGTCTCGAAGTTCTACTGATAAAACACCCATGACTTAGCTGAACGACAGATCTCAGCACTGTTTCTTTTCAGGTCGAGTAAGGCCTACATACTTAGAGCGGAGACAGAAGAGTTCCGCTTGATAAGGACTTCGGATTACACAACAATTTGCTCATTGGCACATCCCTACATTTGAATTACATGAACAAAGTTCTATCTGCTCAGTTGGACTACCTAGTTTTGAGAAATTTGACATCAAAAGTTTTGAGTGTCACAACATGTCAAGCTTTTTCGAATGCAATTCTCTGCATTTCTTGATAACGATTTTAATAGTAACTCAAAGCGACCACATAAGTATGTAAGATAGAACTTCGTAATTCTAAGGCAGCAACAGGTCGGCGCATGTCACTTAATTAGAATGTCGGAAAACAGGCAGTCTAAGAATCTATGATAAGTATTATAAGAATCTCACACAATTTCGGTTGCATCGGAGATGTGAACACTTATGACGTTATGTGTTTTAGTTCTAACGTACCGGTACTTCTGTACATTGATGAAATCATGTGGCCACAGCCACTTGCAATAAATATAGCCAGGAATGAATGGAAATGGTTTTACGGCTCTTTCAACACTGAGAGGTCATTTTGAAGCTGGGGTGGGACGGGGAGGAGGGTTCCTAATATAATGGTAGGACCAAGTCAAGTAAATGTGGAACCTTGAGAACACCCAAATGGCCCAATTTCAAGAACACATATTGGGATAACAAACCTGGGTCAGCTGTTTTGTAGTTCACCATCGTACCAACTGAGATAGGAGCGCCCGCTTTCAGCCTTACATATTCCACTGTCAAAATTTAATCGAAATGCGTTACTCACTCTGGCAAAATTACCTGTGGATTGTTTTTCTTCAAATCATTATTAGTAGTAAAATGAATAAATGGCATGTAATCTTTTTTTTATCCCAAACAGCGTAGTAACTAAGTAAGGGGTGTTTATTGTGACTGATGCTGACTTCTTACTTAATCATTGAAAATACATCTTCTCAGGTTCGGTTCAGAGTAGGCCTATAGGTGTGATGTTTAAATTTCTTTTCATTCCACTAAAGAAAAGATTAAGAAGTGAGTTCGGTTCCACAGTATAGAAATCTGTTTTGGTGACTACATGTACTTAATCTTTCTTCCCGTTGGAATGCTGTATCTGATTTTCTTCTTTTTTTTTTACGAAGTGACTATTTCTCCGACAGCTCGGGATAATAAACTTGAACTCTATTTCTCCGAACGGTTTCTGTTCTCGAGTTTTGTTGGTTATTTGCGAGAGTTCGGCGTCATCTTTCGACTTTCATTCTGCCATACTGCGAGGGCTTGGAAGAAGGATTTTTTTTTCGCATCGAATTCAATTTTCTAGAGCTAGAAATTTTTAACCTAGATGTCTGAATATTGGGGCCACTTACACGCCATCATCCCCATCCCCATCATCCCCCTCCTCCTCCTCCTACACATCATCATCATCGTCATCATCATCGTCATCATCATCATCACTTCAATTGTAGTTGGGGCAACGTTCCTGGACTATACATTGTACTTCATTTGAAAATGCCTTCAAAAGGTACTGCACAAAAAAACAAGACTTCTCGACTTTGGCAGTAACTTATTTTGCATAGTCATCCCTAAAGCAAAAACGTTTTTTTTAAATCCTTCCACCCTCACCCCCACCCCCTCTCCTTCCCCGTTCCTACCACACACACACACACACACACACACACACACACACACACAACACACACACACACATACATACACACACAGGCCGCTCCATTAACAAATAACCAAAAAATCTAGAGAACGGAAACTGTTCGGTAAAAATAGAGCCGGTCTTTTTGTTTAATTAAGTAGATTGTTTTACACCTCTGTCGACACAATTTAGATCAGTTAGGATGCGGCCTTTGACGCTGCCTGCCAGGGTCAACCCGGGCTGAGAGGAATACATTTGTGCCAGCAGAAACACCGAGACACTCGATAAAAAATTCACCCAGCACGGAAATCTAATTCATGTTTTCAGCTTGCCACGGCGAGGCGCCTGACCGCTGTACAACAGGTAACAGACGCCGGTGTCTGGTCTGGGCTAGCAGACCTAAATTTGGCTAGAAGTGGGGGGGGGGTTACGAGTTACAACCAATCAGCAATCAAGAGTTCAGAGTATTAAATTCTTGCTTCAGACACTATTTCTCCATATGCCTCCTTTTGTATCTAGTCCATATTTAGTTTTGTCTACCCTCTAAACAAGCAAATTTGATAACCTGATTACCTGATTCCAGAACTGGGGTCTTCAGAGACGGATTCTTTCTATAGGTTTTGTAACTCCTCGGCCTTCTTCAATAGGGACAACAAGCACACGAAAACAAACGACTAATTCCAACCTTACATGGTCGTAGCTCTGTAAGTTTATGAGAGATTGTGATGTACATCTACAGCTCCTGACATGAATCTTGGTGAATTTGGAAATGTCCAAAAAATAAATTATGCTTCGTAGGTACTGAAAGAAAGAATAACTGAGTTTCTACTTCTATTTAATATTATTATTACAATGTTTACCTACGTCATTCAAAGTTTCTTGCCAGAATACACCATATGGTCAAACAAAATGGACTGGACGGCCTTCTCTGAGACTTAGAGTTTCCAAAACACAAAGCTGAATAGTTGGGCCCAAGTTCCAGGTATATAATTTGCTTACCGATAGTGTGGAGGTGAGCATATTAGTTATGTATATATATAGAAATCGTGATAAGAATTTCTGGACATTATTTACAATGACGGGCACCCTTGCTGTATGTGTAACGATGTTGATGTTCTTATGGAGGTGCTGCTGTGAGCAATGAACATTCTGAACCTATTAATGTTGGTCAATTACCAGTACCACATAATTATTTTAGCATTTGTCATATATTCTCGTTTCTCTACCAAATGCCTTCATAATGGCCACTTTGGTCTAGTAAGTGTAACGTGCTTTCTTTTACTTTTACATACCGGTACATGTATGTTGTTGTCATTTTGAAATCTAAATATGGGAATGACTTGGGAGTTGACGATTAAGTACTGCGTAAAAGTGATTACTGGTCAACCACTGAAGACTTGGCTGTCAACCAAGCCACAACTATGATTTAAGTTCAAAATGATTGCATTTTAATAGCGAATGTCCTTGCTCTACAGCACGCTCTTTGCATTATACAATACATGTATTATTACTCCAGTAGATCCAAGAACACTTTGAAACATTTTTGGCTTCCAGAGAAGCATACAATGCAAGCAGATGATTAAGCACTCAAACACTAACAGACAAGATCTTTCGATGTCTAAAGGAGGCAGGTAGGCCTACCCATTCCCACCTGGATGAAGTGGGGAAAATTCATGTAAAGTGGCTTTCCTTAGCAAACAACATCAGGCGCCTGGTGGTGTCCGAACCCATGACCGACAGCCTCAATAATTAGGCAGCACCCAGCAGGCCTTCACGTCCAAGTACTTCTTCTACATACCCTATCAGCCCTCGCTGCCGACTTTTTAGTTTTAGTTGAGAGTTTTATGGCACTTGCAACACAATAACATCATATGCAGGTAAGTGCCACAGTTTTTTGATGTTACAAGAGACTAACCAAAAAAAGGAGGGGAATAAAGACAATACATAGATGTTTGATAGGAAAAAAGGAGCAAACAACACCAGAGCACCCACAAACCACCCACTGACAAAAGTTGCATGGACTTTTAGTTTTAGTGAGAGTTTTACGGCACTTGCAACACAATGAGGTCGTATAAGTCTAATAAGTGCCGAAGATTAGAGGTGTTACAAAAGAATAACAAACACTACAAAAAAGAAGGAAGAGAGATTAGGACGATAGATGTTTGATAGGAAAGAAGGAGCAAACCACACCAGAGGACCCGCCAAATAGGCCTTCCCACTTGTAGGGGCGGGCTACGTAGACAAACAGTGGAATGCGATGAAGCGTGAGTGTGTGCGGATCAAAAGTTTGAGTTCCTCAAGTTCCTGTGCAGAAATAATAGTGACAATGGGGGTATAGGAATATGTGCCATGACGCTGTGTAATCAGGCGCTCATCGGTTTTGGGGCATTTGGAGTTATTGGTATCATCTTAAAGCCAGTCCATTTGCCTTGGTTATGATTTATAATTTTTATATCCATTTATCATGTAAGGTATTGGAGATTGAAGGGGGTGGGGCTCGAATGGTTCCAGAGGTAAAATTAACGAGAAAATGGCGGCCAAAGTTTAGTTATTTCCTTAGCTTGAGAGTCCGTGGCAACTGAAAATTTACATCTTTTATGCCTTTAATCAACGTTTTTCAGTAAAAATCCACTCAGAAATGTGTTCCTTAATGGACATTAACACTATCCACCCACGCAGCGCACAGAGGGCCCCAACACTTATCCCCCACGGGCCAGGATACAGATGCGGTATATGCTACATCACACCGTCGCCGATCGGCGTCTCGTGGGGGAAAAGTGTTAAAAGGTGTTGAGCCAAAAAAACAAAAATTCGAAAAAAATTCCCAAACCTGCGGAAAAATGCCAGTTTTTTCACTTTCATTATTTTGACGAGCGCCTGATTTCACCACAATGACTCACATATAATTTTATTAAGTAATCACTTGCATCAGCCTTACAACTACACACAAGAGTAGGCGGCTCTCATGACTGGGCCATCTTGCGTTTGTTATAATAATCTATTCCTCAAGAAACACTGAGCTGCAATTCTTTAGTTAATTTTTTTAGTAAGAGTTTTACAACACTTACAACACAATAAGGTCATATAAGTGCCGAAGATTAGAGATTTACAAGAGAGTAACAAACACAAAAAAGAAGGAGAGATCAGGATGATAGTGATAGATGTTTGGTAGGAAAGAAGGAGCAAACCACACCAGAGCACCCGCCAACCACCCACAATTCTCTTGATATTTTTACCAAGACTAATATAGCAAACCTAGTACGTCTGAATAGGCGAGAATAAAGGGAAAAAAACAGGAATCAAGAATGGTCTGGTCCTTTTAACCCTGAGTTCTTTTCTGTTTTCGTTACTGATCCCAAGAAAATATCTTGGTCACAAAGGGAAGTTTTGTAATCAAGTTTCCATAAAAACCTGACAAAAAAACGCTGTTTCCTCTCCCAATAATTCTTTTTTGTTTAGTTTAAGCAGAAGTTTTACGACGCTCGCAACTGCAAAAGGTCATATGAGCGCCAGAAGACTAGAGGTGTTACAAGAGTTATAAACATAAAAAAGAAGAAGGGGAGATAAGGACAATAGATGTTTGATAGGAAAGAAGAAGCAAATCACACCAGAGCACCCGTCAACCATCCACCAATAATTCTACAAAGAGAAGAAAACAAAGCCAAATTAGAAATGTCCTTTGGATTTTATTCATTTCCCTCAACACCTTCATATTCAACCACTGAAAATGACAACATTCGCTGAAAATGGATCTGCATTCTTTCAGGTATCAGCCTTGTCCAAGATGTGTTAATTTAGCAAGAAACATTCCCCATTCAGGCATAACACCCACCATCCTCAACACCTGTCCACTCTAATATCACACAAAGGAAGCAGAAAACATGCACAGTGCAATCACATAACCCATGATGACAGTATAAAACCAAATGAGACTCAAATAAAAACACAGACAGACACACACTCTTTCTCTCACCCATACACATATTGTTCACATACATTCCATGAGATAGTTATTAAAACTTCGGAGCAATCTGGGTTTGATTCATTGCTGCAACAGGGTGGCCATTTAACTTCTTTCTCACATTGTTTATTTCAAGGTCAAACACTCATGTTTACCTGTTTTACCATAAAAATGACAAACAACAGTAAAGCTGTCCTAATACTTTTAATAAACACTACAAAAGTATTTTAGTACTCAAAATCTATTGAAATAATGTAATTCTTGTTTGTTTCCAACAATTCTCTGGGCTCTTAGGCACTTCACACCCCATAACCCATTTTCATTTCAACCTCTGTGATCTGTAAAATAAAATAAAAATTATCACAAAAATTAGTTTTATTTTTTTCATCAGCTCAAACTGCATGATGTGCAGTGCATCAAACCTCTCAAACCAGATGAATATCTTTTCACCAATAGTCCAAACTGAAAGCATCCTGAGGATTTGCTCCGAAAGAGAGCAGAGGACAGCAGTGTAAGCTTGGCCACATGTCGCACTACTCTTTCCTTGCCGCAGCACCGGGGGGAGGGGGCATCATACCCATGCCTGGCAGGAGGTTGTTGCTGGCTGCTGACCCAGACACTGCTGCATTTGGTCCTAGCAAAATCTGAAGAGAGAAAAAACAACATCATGAATCAGGCACAAGCACTTCTATACAACACTGGTCCTATCCTGTTGAGAAATAGTAAAAGCACAAATGTTAATTAACAAAAGTAAGAAAATGACAGGCAGGTACACAGAAGTACATGCACAACCTTAAAAAAGCATCCTTCTAATTACCTGTACAGAGGGAAAAAATCATCAAAAAGACAAAAATGATAGCAAGTGTAATGGACAATAAAACAATAAAAAAGTAATGTCAATTTTTCCAACAATATGTGAGGCAGCGTGGTGGAATCAGGCTCTCGTCAAAATAATCAAAGTGAAGAAACCTGAATTTTTCCGCAGGTTTGTGAATTTTAATCAAATTTTTGTTTTTTTGCTCAACACCTTTCATGCCCATTAAAGAACTCATTTCTGTGAGGATTTTTCATAAAAACGTTGATTAATGGCACAAAAAATGTAAATTTTCAGTTACCACGGACTCTTAAACTAAGGTTATAACCAATCTTTGGCGGCCATTTTCTCACTAGTTTTACCTCTGAAAACTGGTGATCCCAAACTCCTTCATTTGCAAATATCTTGACTTGTATTCAAGATAAATTGATATTTTTTTCATCCAAGTAAAGACAAGTGAACATGCTTTAAGATGATACCAATAACTGTACATGCCCACAAATTGACGAGAGCCTGATTCCGCCACGTTGCCTCACATATAATTCAGGCACTCATATTATAGTAAAACACACACTAAGTGAACATATTATTTTCTTATAGCCTGCATTCATTGCATTTAAAACACATACAAAACATTTGTACATAATGAAAAGACTTCTGCATGCCACTGATTTTGCTATGAGCGTCTAGACTGTAATTGATATATATACAGTCAAACACGGGTAACTCGAATGTGTCCGGGATTCGAAATAGCGTTCGAGATTTCCATAATTTGTCATGTCCATGAAATAGAGCTGGAGTCTGCTCGATTAATCAAAGGCTTGCGAGCAGCGGACGGCTTGCGCCAGAGGCTTGCGAGCAGGCTTGTGCTTTGCTTGCCTCCCGCTCGCTACTAGGGGGAACTTCTGGTGAGTTGTGACTCGCGGACAGTGTTGCTGTACAGTGTCGTGATGTTGGAAACTCTCGTCTCGTGGCTGTGAGCTCAATGCATATTACAGAAGATTTGCACCAAAAGTGCAAGATTGTCTTTTTTCCATAGTCGGGTTTAAAAAAGAAAAAGCTCTATTCAATTAACTTAAAAATTAATAATGGATTTTCTATTCTCACGATGCAATAGCCCGCGGTTTTTTATGTGCACGGGCCAAGCGCTTTGTCGTCGGACGCAAAAGACCTCAGTTCCATTCCCGTAAGGGGAGAAATTTTTACTGAGAACCTCCGTCTTTCTGTTGGGGTGTTGTTCCCTCTCAGTCCAGGTTGGCCCTAACATTGGGTTGAAGTAGGCCTAGCCCGTCTCCTAAATGTCCGGTATTATCTCATTGTGAGTGTAAAACATCTACAAAATAGGTTACATACATACATACAAACGATACAAAAGCCAATCATGACTCCTGGAGTGTTCCATTCTAATGTATTCTAAATCTACTTATTACCACCAGAAACCTAGGTCTCTGTTACTACAATACCACGCTTCCTCTCACTTCATCCACTCGCTCAGCTGATCAACGGCGGGAAGTTAAAAATAGCTTCGGCTCTCTACTTCTTGCACCAAAACAACAAGCACAGCCTCTCCCTTCCTTCACGGTTCAGAGTTCACACTGCGGGCTGTCTGGCTGCTCGCTCCACAGCAAGTGGTTTGCCAGGTTGCGAGCATGTCATAGGAGCCAAAGCAAATCATGGGAGCCAAGAGACTTGCTGGGCTACGAGCAAGTCATAGGGCACAAAGCAAGACACTGGACACAAAGCAAGTCATGGGACTTGCTGTGCTGCAAGCGAGATTCGAGACTTGACGGCCGTCCGCTGCTCGCAAGCCTTCGATTAATCGAGCAGACTTCTGCTCTACGCCGCGCAGTGACACTCTCTCTCTTCCCCTCTCTCTTTTTCTGACGTAAGTGGCTTCGCTGATAGCAAGCAGGGTGGGGAGGATGAGGGGGTCTGACATGAGTGGCTTCGCGGATTGCTAGTTGGTGTGGACTTGAAGCTTAGGCTAGACTCAACTTATCATGCTGGTGATTTGACCTAGTGACTTCAGGCTTGTAACTTGAACTCGGGCTTGCGAGCACGAGCGTATTGACTACCGGGGTACAACTCTACCGTGAAAGCCCCAAATACAAAGAAATAGAGAAAATCAAGGGAGGTAAAAAAAGAAAATAAAACAATTAGCGTGGTTAGCTCCCTTAATGAACGTGTTAAGGGAGTGAAAGATAGAAGAATAAAAAAAGTGAAAGTGGAAAGGAGAAAATGTCACATGTGCACAGGTGACTCCTACTCGTACGTCGTTCCTCTCCTCTCATTTCATAGGCTTACAGAAAGTTACGCCTCTTGCCATCTGCACCTCGCACGTTCCACAGCATGATTGCACACGTGGCGAGCCAGTCATGGGTTGCGTCAGCATCACTCCCCAATCCCCCCCCCTTCCTCCAGCCTCTCACAAGGACCACGTTTTGGCTGTAACAATAACAAAGAAACACCTACCCACGGCCAGAAAGGCTGTAAAGTCGAGTCTTTAGTTGATAATGCAAAGTGGATTAGTCTCGAGATTCGAGTGTCGCGTGTTCTGAGTGTTCGGGAAATCCGTGAAGTCAAATTAAAGAAAACATAGGATAGGGAATGAAACGGGACCGAGCATTATGTTCAAGATATCCGAGAATTTGTGGACAACTGTAATAAATATCAAAACCTACTAACCATCACCAAGGCAACTAGTAACCTTACTCCACTAGCAAAGAGATCTCACCAACATCTTCAAAAATAAAACATAGATTATTATATAACAATAGCATACTCATCCCACCACCCACTTCAACCACACATGCATGAATTCTACTGGTGAAAAACATGAAAGTCTTCAACAGTCAACTCACTGACTGCTAGAGTTGAAATCCCAATCCGACTCTGGCAGCTGGCATTTCAAGGGTGTTTTACAACATTCACTGTTAGATAAGATAACTATTCAAAGGAGACACTTAAAATTCTCACTATTATTTTTTTATTGTGTTTTATAGACGTGAAAACAGATTTTCAATAGTAGTCATACTTTTGTTTGTATAGTTGTTTGTGAAATGTGGACAAAGGTAACTCAGAATAACTTGAGCCACTGGTTGAGGAAGTATATAAAGCAACCTCAAAGGCATGTTATGTTTACCCTTCTTAACAGAATAATTGGTTAAGTATTCTAGGCCACTTTTGTGACCATCTGGCATGCCTTGTTCAATAGCAGAACTCGTAGAAATGAACCCCTTTTCATTGAGAGGTTAAATGATGTGTAAATTCAACCTAAAAATTGCAAAACAGTGCCAGATCTAAAAAATATGCGTTGTAACTTACCAAACCCCCCAAAAAACCCACAGAAGCAACACTGAGGGGTCAAGAGACAAACTGCTAATTTAAACAGATATTAAATAGCATGCCTTCCCTTTCCAGAACTGCCAATACCAACTGCGGGTCAGTAAATGAGGTAAATGAAGAAACAGAAACTGACAGTGCAAGTATTAGCAGTGACTGAGTTGAGAGTGCAGATAATATGTCCAGATGTGACATTTAACCTTAAGACAACCCAATATCAAAATTAAACTGCTTCACTCAAAAGCAACAGAAGCAATCTCTTGGGTGACCAATTTTACGTGCAGTGAAGAAAAACTGCAAGTTAGGCCAACAATTCTACTGAGAGTTAGCTTCAGTACCCTTTGCAGCCTTACAAAAAACACAGCTCACTGAAGGCTACAAACCCTCCATCCCTAAGTTACCACAGGTTTTCAGATGTACAGCTGCTGCTACACCTACAACAACTTCACTACTCAGACAGACCTGTCTTTGCTGTTGAAGTTGTTCCTCGTGCTGCTGGGCTCTCTCTGATTCAAAAATGACAGGAAGAGCCAGGATGACTGCAGAAGAGCTGACAATCCAAAGGGCATTCCGCATCAACCAATATCCACCTTTTGTTAAGGACACCAGGCAGACACCGGCAGTCGAGCAAGTCTTGCGAACACTTTGTGGGAACATTTCTGACAGGCCCATGAGCCTTTCTGCCAGAGACTCATCCTGAAAACAGATTGAAGGTCAACAGTAAGTTTCAACAGCATACTAAGAAATAAAATTACAATGGGCCCTAGCAATAACAGGACCGATGGGACCGACATAATGTCACTTTTAGAGTCGAATCCTGTTATAGGCAGGGATCAAATTTACATACACTGTAACTAATATTTAATGACTGGAATCGTTTCTATTACATACATTTAGATCTACCCACTGCCAATTTATCAGTTATTCCTCCCTTCTTTTCCAGTGCTTTTTTTCTCCTCACTTCTACTTGTTTTTTAAGTATCAAAGTCTCATTGAGGTTGACTAGATATCGCTGGAGATGCAATGGTAATAATATTTAATACTAATTGAATTTATCTCATGATATCTAGGCTCTGTGTGCTTTACAACTTCGCAAAATCGGATAGTTACCACAGTTGGCAAAAGGAACACAATACACGTGTAAGTGTCACGACGTGGTGTAATCAGGCGCTCATCAGTTTTTTGGCATGTGGAGTTATCCGTATCACCTAAAAGCTTATTCATTTGCCTTGCTTTCAATGAAAAAAATACCCATCTATCATGAATGGAAGTCGAGTTATTTGCGATTGAAGGAGGTGGGGTTGCCTATTTTCAGTGATAAAATTCGTGAGAGAATAGCCGCCAAATTTCGGTAACTTCAACAGCTTGTGAGTCTCTCAAAACTGAAAAATTACTGAAATGTTTTTCAGTCATATTCACATAGAAATGCGTTTTGGTGCGGACACAAAAGTGTGGAGCCAAAAAACAAAAATTTGACTAAAATTAGTAAAATTGCCAAACTGGTGGAAAAATACCTGTTTCTTCGATTTTATCATTTTGATGAGTGCCTGACTTTACCATGATGCCTCACATATTTGCGATAGATCTATGGGTCAGTGCATTCTTTTCAATCAATCATTTATTCCCAATACAAGTCTCGCCACCCCACGAGGAGACAATGATGATATAGTGCCAGACCAAGGTCTCAGTAAGTCACTGACTGGATTTGTATCAACACCAAAGTGCATCCTGCTTTCCCTTCCCTCCCCTCACAGTATGACACATTACTAAATGTTTGCAATCAACTCAGGCCTACCATGGGTCACATAAGGGCAGTTCACAATGTTAGTTGTTTTGCTTCATTTGCTTCTTTATGTTTTCTTGTCCAGTTGTTTAGAGATTTTGTCGATGATTGGACCACTGTAGCTGAGCATGTCTGTCCAAATGTCTGCTTTAAAAGAACTTTTTACTATACATTTTAAGAACAAGGACTACGGGATTTATTACCAGCTTGCTTTAGCCATATCCTGTTATTTCTGAGACTGGTTCATAGTGGGACCCACTGTATGTCTGCAATTGATTTCCAAGAGAGTATTTATAAATATGTGTCACGACGTGGTGGAATCAGGCTCTTGCCAATTTTGGGGCAAGTAGAGTTATTGATATTGCCTTACAGCTTGTTCATTTGTCTTGCTTAGGATGAAAAAAAATATCATTTATCTTGAATACAAGTCGAGTTATTTATAAAAATTTGCGAATGAAGGAGCGGAGGTCATCTTGTTTGAGAGCTAAAATTAGTGAGAAAATGGCTGCCAAAGTTGGGTTATTTCCTTAGCTTGGGAGTCCGCGGAAACAAATATGTACATGTTTTAGGCCTTTAATCAACATTTTTCAGTAAAATCCACACAAAAAAGTGTTTCATAATGGGCATGAAAGGTGTTGAGCCAAAAAACAAAAATTCGATAAAAATTCCTAAACCTACGGAAAAAGGCCAGTTTCTTGATTTTCATTATTTTGACGAGCGACTGACTTCACCAAGATGCCTATTATATGATGAAACAGCACAAACACTGACTGTAAAAGCAGATGGTGATGTTTTCAAGCGTACAACAAATACCAACAAATTTATGTGAACTTAAAACTTTACATCAAGGCAACAGGGGCAAATACAAGTATAGTAGTCTCTACTTCAGCACTGCACACACTGTGGTAACGACATTTTGAATTAGCTACTCTGAACTAGCCTATGCAATGATAATCAATAAAGCCAAATTCCTGCCCTACTACTGTTCTTGGTAATAATCAAATCTATTCACTTCAAAGCAGGAATGTTACACAGAGCCTTGTGAGAAAACCAGATTTTAAAAAAACTAGGCCTAAATACAAATGATGAAGTCATCCACAGGGACTCCCAGTGGATGAGGATAAATGAGTTCAGGCTCACATAATTATTAAAAGTAGTGTCAATTGCCACCGAATAAATTAGAGCTCTTTTGCATTGGTGAGTATGTGTGCTCGGTGTTTGTGTTCGTGAACTTCCGCTTACGCACACCTCTGTGTGTGTGTGTGTGTGTGTGTGTGTGTGTGTGTGTGTGTGTGTGTGTGTGTGTGTGTGTGTGAGTGTGTGTGTGTGTGTGTGTGCGTGTGCGTGTGCGTGTGTGTGTGCGTGTGCATGTGTGCATTAATGTATATTGCATGTGTGTGTGTGTGTGTGTGTGTGCGTGTGCATGTGTGTGTGTGTGCATTAATGTATATTGCATGAGAAGAAAGGAAGTAGTAAGAAATGTTTTTGAAAAATGGGTATTCCAATGTGTGTGTGTGTGTGTCTTTTCCTGACCCCCGTCCCCCAATTTATGTTCCCAGATATAATGTGAATTTCTGCTTGAGTTTGTGTGTTTGTGACCTTCTAGGCCTACTTCTAGAATTGCCTGTGTGGTTCTACACCAAAGTGTAGGCTAAGGCTAGCCTAGATCTAAATACGTCTCATTGAAAACACGCCAAGTTGGTACCGTAGCTCGAGACTAGATGCTCATCCAAATAAATTAGTTGAGAACAAATTGACATATTGGACACACATTATGTATAATGCTAAAGATCTAGTGTTGTTTTCAGACTTGACACCGCTTCACTCAGTGGCAATTGACAAAAAGTCAATTTTTGTCAATTGCCACCGCGTCACTCGGTGGCAATTGACGCTACCATTATTATTAACAGAAGTAAGGCTGCAACGGAACACTTTGCCTATAATTGCTAGAAGAAGCAATAATCGAAAAGAGCTGAATGTGCAGGCTTCATCACAACAATAAAAACTATAAAACAACAAATTATAATTATGGAAAAAAATATTTGGTCAGTCGGGAGGAGAAGGGAGGAGAAAAGAAAAAAAAACAAAAACCTTCCGAACCTGGAACTCGAACCCACGCTCAAAGACTTCATACGCAAACACGTTGTCCATTCGGCCATCACAACTCTCAACAAGATTGAGTAGATTAACTCACTTCAGACGGTTCACACAACAGTTGCGTGACCCCCGCCGCGACGCTCGCAACGGGTCTCACAAGCCCTGCGTAACCAACTTTGGAAATTTTTTTTCCGCTCTACAAATCACGCACGGATCGCGAGACCTGCCTCGTACCCTTGTTTGGCCAAGCCTGAGCTACTTAGATTTCGTTTCATATCTCTGGGGCCGGGAATTTTTAAGTTATTGAAGGTGAAGGACAGTGACCCCAACTGGGGTTGAACAGACCGGAACTCGCGCTTTTCTTCTTCTATACAGCTGATAGTAATCCGACAGTCGCGTCGTAGTAACGGTCGAAGAAGTCGCATGAACAAGAATCACATAATTTTGCCGTTTTCTATACTTCTGTACGTTTTACTAGTTCTAGTGTCTCAGAATATGATGTGTCTAATAGTTAGTATCCTGGATATGTACCCGAACACGGCCCGAGTCGTAGTTCTAGGGCTAGATCTAGCACTAGTACCGGTGTTGTTTTTCGCGCAACGAAATCACAACGTCGTGCCGTACATCTGTCTCATGTAATTCAATATATGGGTCTGAATCAATGCACATGCCAGCTTTTATATTTTCACCAAACACTCACACATGGATACAAATCAAACCAGAACACTTTGAACTTTTATTTTTGTTGTTGCAGTGAATTTCATTCTACTTGCCACGTCTCTGGAAATTTTTCAGAAAATCAAATTCATGCCAATTTTTTAAAAATCATACAAATTAAAGTATTAGACTAGATCTAGATCTAGATCTAGACTTAAATCTAGACAACTTTAGTTTTTTGTATTAGATTAAGCTTGAATGTTACTTAACTGTGTCAAAAAGTAATTACAATAGGGTAATTCTGAGAGTTGTGGTGATTTATTGAAATACCCCCAAAAACGCCAGTCTTCAACGCTTGTGACTGGTGAAAGGGCCCAGTCGCAAGTGAGTTAAGCTTCATATATTTACAACACTGTTTCAGAAGTTTCCGAACTGCTAAAACTGGAATCATAGGCCTAACACACAATATTCACCACTAGCCTACCACAGACAATCAGAGCACCACTAGCGCCTGGCTGACGGGCTGCAGCAAGCCGCAAGTATTAAGTACGGCTAGCCGACTAAAGTACAGCTAGACTGGAAGTCTAGCCGTCATTAAGTACGGCTAGCCACTTCGATAGGCCCAAATGTTAACCAACCTCCTTACACACTCACATAACTCGCTTAGAAGCTGAGTCTGAGTAAATAAAACATTTTTTTCGGACCCGAGTCAGAATAGATAAGTACCATATTCAGACTCAAGTCTGAATGGATAAAAAATTATATTTGGACTCGAGTCCGAATAGCTGGCCATCCCTCTCTATTCAACTCTCTCTCTGTCTCATAGTTCATGTACTCATAAACTAAAGACTCATACTCATAGCGGTCGCTCGTTTACAGAAGGAAAGTGGCTATTCTCACCCGCCCGGAAGTTCTCGCAAGATCAATTCCTCCCCTCTTCTCTGCTCTCTCTCCGTCTCTTTCTGAATACTGTCTATCGGTGTGGAGGATCAAATTGACCAAAAACAAAGTTAAAAAATGATGTTAAAACACAAAAGTAAATAAATTTGGTTGTCTACAAAGATGCTACGGCTATTTAACTTTTCGAATCGAGCCGAACTACGCGGGTCGCCATTTTGTTTTGCCCGGAAATTCTCGCGCTACTCCTCTCTCTCTTTCTCTCTCCACTGCCCACAGACAAAATTGTACGCTTTTAGTAGGCTACAGTTGTAATGGAATGTTTGTTCACGGCACAGAATTCTACAATTTTTCTGTTATCACAGTGTAGAATTCTGTGGTTTAGGGTGAACGCAAAATTTGGTGAACGCGCACCGGGTGAGAATAGCCACAAGACTCGCCTGCACTATTCTGAGGTGGCCTTACAGAAGTCCTCCCCAATGTTCTACAAAGGGTTTATTGATAAGACTGGTATTTTCTGCTCTATATTTTTTGCAAAACTAGATATCTAGATCCAGCGTTGTAGCATAAGCACGTGTGCTGTTGTTCTGTTGTTTTCGACAAAGTCATAGAGAGGCAGTGACCGGCGCAGTGACAAAAGTCTACTTTCTCTTTCAATGCAGCCTCGTAAAGAGGGACGCATACAAGAGTCCTATATGTACTTGTACCTTTCAAACGAGAGAGTTTTTATCTCAATGCACGAATTACCAAATACGCACACAAAAACAGATTTTCGAGCAGGATTATAATCCTCTTACCTCATCTAAGTCGTCGTCGTCGATCGCTCTCCTTGGATCCTTCGCCATTTTCTTCTTGCAATGTCGTGATGAAGGTTCATGTCCTGTTAAGGTCAAATGAGGTAGAGCATTCATTAGGGCCTAGTTACCGAAAATAGCCGGAGGACAAACCTGCGCGGCTGGGTCCTGGGATTTCTGCTATTTCTTGGAGGGGGGAGGGGGCGGAAGCTGTTGGCTTTTCTTGAGAAGCATCTCTGTTCATTGTATCAGATTATAAATTATTGATATGATATGCTAGACGCAGTATTCCATTTCAGTTTCAGATTCATACAACAGTTTAAGCTACATTGCCATGATGGCATCACAGTTTTACAGATGGTGTGTTCGCCTTCACTATTAGAAGTCCATATTATTCTATTCCACAAGAAATACCCAAAAGGGGTTATAATAGGCACAATAAACGCATTTTACGTGCAGTGTACTATGAATATAATATGATGTACAGTACTGAAAATAAACAATTTTGTTGTTACCAGTCAACACCCAGCACTCATTAATTCTTTTTCCATGAATTCCAGAGACAATAGGTTTGTTGAGAACCATTTATAATGATCTGTTTTATCGTCATCATTACATCACTTGATGATGTTAATGTCGATGAGGAGAAAGGGCAGGAAGAGGACTGTCACATGACTGAGCATGTGTCAGTAATTCCCCGTTTAAGTGAACATTTTAGTTTGTTTGCACACCACCTACCTGACATTGGCGAAGGTGGACAGAAAGGCTTCTCAGCCAGAGAGGAGCAGGTTGAACGAGCCATTTTCCAACTTCTTCAGCTTCAATTGAACTTGAATGCGGCTAAAGAAGATTGGCGGGATGATGTTTCTGAAGATCATGTCAATGAAAGTAGGCTATTAGAAAACACGAAGTACACATGTACAAACAATGTACCAACAGAGAAAGTGATGTAGCCGCTGCTGTTGCTGTGTCACTGTTATTGCCATTGCTGCAACCCCCACTAGACTTGCTGTTGTTGCTGGTACTCTTGTTGCTACACCGGTATTGTACTACGTTTGTCTTCGCTGTAATATAAGTTATGGTGGTTGTGATATAGATATTGCTGTTACTGCTGCTGCTATTATAATTTCATTGCTGTACAACTGTCGCTACTGTTGTTGTCGTCGATGTTATTGCTGCTATCATTCGTGTCACCATAATTTACTGGATCGGTGTACAATATGCTTAGATAGTATTAGTAACAGTCCCAAAATTGCAGTCTTTTGTGCAGCATTTTGGTACGACGAGCGCAGTGTTTTTTTTTCATACTATACAAATGTATCGATCGTCTTATGGTCGTCCACGGATTTGATGGCAAATATCCTTATTCGTTAGTACTTATGTCATCATCATCGGCGATCATGGTTCTCCATTCATTCCTTTGCTCGGATGCTCTCAAAAAAGCTACGTTTCCCTGATCTTTCCCTGTTACCCATTTGTTTAGGTTCCCTGGGTATGTTGTTCTGGGCCTACCCCTGCCTCGTTTGCCCTCAATTTTGCCAGTGAGGGCTAGATGTTCAAGACCCTTAGAGTAGCTTGACCCCGTCTCGGCCACTGCTGGTGTGCGGCCAGTTCTCATAACTCACATTCCAGTTGCTGTAAGGCTTTGAATAAACCACTGTAGGCTAGCTTCTCTTGGGTCTGCCAATGCGTTCACTTTCATTTCCGGTCTTTCCCGCTGTTCCGACACACGTGATGCGAGTTTGAACTTTTCAACCCAGAAATTTTTTTTCATTAGCTCTTACCACAACCTAAATATTATTATTTTGTCAACTAAGTGTGGTTTCTGTGTTTTAAAATGCATGTTTTTAAGCCTAACATTGTATAAATATTGCTCAAACGTAAACTTTCGGAGAAACGTCGACGGACGCAGCCAGGGCAGGGTAATTTTTCATGTGGGTCCACATGCGGTCGAATCGGTCGCACCGAGGACGGGCTTTACAGTAGAGGTCCTGGCCGCGGCCAGAGTCCAAAATGATAGATAGCCCTGGTCAAATTAAGGCTAAAGTCTTGAGATAGAATCTAGACTTTGTTCTTGATAGAGGTAGGCTGTTTGCAAAGCTTTTTGTCCACTTAATAAAGCTAGATGTAGATCCACTGGTAACAAAGCAATAAGATATTTTCAAGCACGGCACCGATCTCAGTGGCCTAGTGGTATGGCGTCCTTCTCGGGAATGGAAGATCGTGGGTTCAATTCCCGACCAGGTCATACCTAAGACTAAAAAAACTGGCAATCTAGATCTAGTAGCTGTCCCACCTGGCGTCGGCATTATGGGACGAGTGCTATGATGGGTTTGCCCGGTGTTAGTACACTGTGACTAGATGGGATAATAAGTTCTGTTACATTTCATATCCCAGGGTAACAGCACGTTAATTTGCCTAAATGACCTACTGGTTTTCATTAGAGATGTTAAAGGCCAACTCAAACAAAAACTCAAGTATGGCATGGAGTGAACTCTAATCTATCCAAAAAATGTGTTTTCCCAAGCAAGTCTCAAAATGAGTGGGAAACCGAAGGGGACAAAAGAAGCTTTAGACAATGTGTAACAAGCAGTCAGTGAAGGGATGGGGAGATGCCAAGTCAATCTGAGACTGAAACATTCCTTCATTCTTCCTACTTTGCAACGCAGGAATAATTGCGGCAAGAGAAAGACATCGCTGGAAAACCTTCCATTGCTCCTCAGGGGACAAGAATTCATTGACTCTTTAATCAACAAGGAGAGAAAGATCAAAAGGAAAGCAGAGATGGAAATTAGAAAAGTGGACAGAGTAAAGCCAAAATGGAAGAGGAGAAATGGAAGACGGGAAAAGAAAGAGAAAAACAGCGAGGGGAGCAGAAGAAGCAAAGTGGAGAAAGAAAATAGAAAGAAGATGCAAGAAGAGAGAAGACTAGCCGAGGAGAAGGGGACGGAGAATAAGAAGAAGCAAAAGAAAAGAAGTCATACCTAAGACTAAAAAACTGGCAATCTAGATCTAGTAGCTGTCCCACCTGGCGTCGGCATTATGGGACGAGTGCTATGACGGGTTGGCCCGTGAAAGGAAACAAATCCAAGAAGAGGTTGAGCGATTCAGACTATGATACATGTACAAGTGCAGCTATCAATGAAAGTGAAATGATACTGTTTGATGAAGATGACCTGCAGTTGGAAGATTTCATTGGAGAAGAATGTTCGACTGAGGAATCCATGTTTGCTGAAGTGGGGGTTGTGGAAAGACATGAAACTCCACAGAGATGACACTTGGACAATGAAACGCTTGAACTTGATGAAGGATCAAGAGTCGGACCACAGACGGAGAGAAATAAAACAGTGTTGCTGCTGACAATGAAGGAAATAGGAAACAAAAGACATGTGGTTGAAGTAGAAGAAACAGAAAGAGAAGACATCCTTGAGAGTGAAGGAGATGGGAACAAAAGACCAGTCGTTGAACTTGGAGTAGAAAGAGAATAATAATATGCTATGCGTGAGATGAATGAAGAAGAGGTGGAGGACTGGAACATGGTTGGAACTGGAAAAGAAATGCAGGCATTGCCTTAAGAGGAAGGAAGGCCAGACACTGTGAAAGAGGAGAGCGGGGATTCACTTGGTCAGCATGACGGTGGAGATCGTACCTTGAGGCCAGAGACGTGAGACTTGTCCGTTCTGCTCTTATCAAGAGTATACGAAATCTAGATCTAGATCTACCATCCTTGCACTTTTTTGCATAGATCTAGATCTACGCTGTCATTGATTTCCATTTTGTTTGCATGCTCTGGTCAAAAGTAGATTGAATCTCGTTTAAGTTGTAGATCTATGTACCATTCTTTAATTTTGAACGTTCCCGTTTGCATTCTGAGTCACTGATTTCCATTTCGTTTGCATGCTCTGATCAAGAGTCTGTTGAATCTCATTCAAGTTGAAAGTAGGCCTACCATATTTCAAATTGCACCTTATGCGTTTGTTATTGATTCATTCATTGTTTGTCATGTTTTCAAGTGTTTGAAGCTTGTTTAACGGCCTGGCCGCATAACGGGTATGGATTCGGCCGCACCTAAGTCAGGCGGCCGCATCGTTGGCTCGTCGTCGGCCGCACACAGGGCTGCCGGCCGTCAAGTGGTACGCCGAAGTTGTGCAGAAAACACACACTGCACTCTATACTTGAAGTCTTTAAATTCCCGGCCAGGTCAGGACCCTTCCTGCGGCTTTTTTCTCCTCGAAAATCAAGTTGGGAATCTCTTAGTGCAGAAACAGTGCTAGCTAGGGGGGAATGTTCGCTCGTGGCCGCAAGTGGTCAAATTACTCTATGTCTATTCAGGTGTCCCAAAAACTGCATTTGTCGTTTCCTGATTGTTTTTAACATTGAGCGTCCCACGTGGGTTTCATCAAGTACTACCTCATTGATTTATTTTCCTTCCACGATACTCTTAGCAGTCTCATAAGAAACCACATTTCTGTTGCTTCTATTTTATTTTCACTGTCTTTAGTGATTGTCCAGCATTCACGGCCATAATATAGAAGGGTTGACTAAACATAGCACTTCAGAACTTTCATTTTGGTTTTCATCGGGAAGTACTAAGATTTGGTATTGTTTACTATTCTTTCTTGTTATTGTTCTGATGTGTTGTTTTTCCATGTTTTTGTATTTATATAGCTCTAGCGTAATGTTGTTCCAACCTTTTTGTTTTTATAAAAGTGTTATTTTAGAGTGTGTCTCTACCGAAACCGAATACTGACTCTGGCAGGCCCCTTGTGTGTGATTCCATGGTCCACATGTTAGATCCTGTACTTTTTTCTTGAATTACACGTCTTCAGGGTTAAAACGGCCAGTCCATGGATGGGTTGACACACGCCATTATTTGTTAATTGTTATGGTTGATTACTTGCTTTTTTAAAAATTTCATTCTGTTGTGAAACCTTTATTTTTCACGTTTTTACACTCTGTGTGTCTACAAATGATATTCTGGATGCTTAAAACAGAGGAAGAATTTTGGTGTTTTAGATTAAGTTATCTCTATCAACATATCGCTATATATAGATATTAGGTCTAGATCTAGATCTAGATCTAGATCTAGATCTAGATCTAGATCTAGATCTATCTAGATCTATATAGATCTATATACATCGTAACAGAGAGTTGAAATCTTGAAAATTAATGGCAACTTTTTTGGCAACTTTCTGCGTCTTGGACAAAATCTTACTAGCCCACAGCACGGCGGTCTACGGCACGGTACTACAGTCTGGGCCGTAAGTCCCAAAGACTAGACTCTGTTTTGTTTTAGTAAGGTTTTACGGTGATCGCAACTGCATAAAGTCATATGAGTGCCAAGGGGTTGATGTCAACAGAGAAGTCCAAACGGGGAATCGGGCTTACGACTCTGCTCACCTCTCTAGCCTCAACAGCACAAAGTCTGTTTCGACTATCAAGGCACCCCGTAAATGTAAGTGTGTATGCCTATACTATAAGTATGTGCTTTCGGACAGTGGTTTTAGTAGAGTCTACTTGTATCCAGGGGCGAAGTGTCTATATAATCAAATAATCACTGCTTCCCTTTCTAATTTTGAAACATTGTCGCTGTCAAATTCATCCTTAAACGTAAACCTCATAAATTAAATGTAAAAAGACGTTCGTAACCAACAACGAACAGTATGCCTAACATTCAAAACAGTTTCACGGCCACAGAAATAGCCTCCTCACCCCTCTCGGGCCACTCCATAAGCAGTCGCAAGCTTTGATTAAGTGTAAGCTTAAAGTGAGGCTGGAATAGAGTTGAAGGGAACATGTGCATGGCAGTCAAAGCTGTTTCATTGCCACATATACCCTGTTCACCCCTTTGGGGCCACAGTTAAAAT